GGATATTTTATATAACTTAGATTTAAAGGAATTCCTGCCAGTAAATTTCGTTCAAAGAACTTAAAAATATTAACTTGGATAGTCTTTCAGCATTCAGACGGTTTCTTTTTTCTGTTAAAATATTACCTGCTTTGCTAAATACACGCTCGCTTGGAACAGAAGTACCAACGATAGATAAATACTTAATAGCTATTTTATATAAATTTGGATATACCGTTTTTACTTGATACCAATAAGCTAAAGGATCGTCAGTTCTTTTAATAACAGTTTGATTTAAAAACTGTCTCAGTTCGACAGGAACACCTCCAGGTTCATCGGTAGGGTTGGTAGAAGTTACTAATTCTTCGTGAATATTCCAAAAGTTCTCATTTACTACAGGAACTAAATTTTGTGGCTTATCCAATTCAACTGTTACAGCTTTACTAGTTCTCATCAGCTTACATATTTTTTCAATAGTAATTGAAACTGACAGAGAACTTCGAAAATGAAGCTTTTTAAACCGCGGATCCAATATAGTCGATATTGCAAGGATTTCATTTTTTTCAATATTTGATTCTTCTGAGTAAAATCGTTTGAATATTTGATTTTGAATATTTTGATGTAAAATTATACCAGCTTCCGTATTAGGCAATGACTTTTCCATAGTTTTCGTTAAACAATTTACAATAGGAATTATTTTGCTGCATGTTACATATTATTGGAGCGGACGCAACGGTCTACAAGTCTCGGCTGATCCTATACGTCGGTGCTGGTGGCAACACTGATCGTCGTCGCCCTCCCCCTCCTCCTATAGCTGGCATCCTTCTTGTACTGCCAGAGACACGAGCATGTACACGAGTATCTCTTAAATAAACTTATATTACAAGAGCGCATATTAGAAGGTCCGGTATCTCTTATTGAAACAGCACTACCTCACTGCCGCCCTCTCAACAGGTTATGGGCCCAGGAGCGCGGGAGGAATAGCTGGAATACACGAAATAAAGATATCCGCACTTTGAGGTTAAAAACGAC